GCTTCCAAGGGGAGCTCATGGTACGGCCCCTCGCGCCGGCCCCAGGGGTTATGGGATAGCTGCCCCTCTGTGGGATGGGGGGGTGGGGCTCCCCTGATCCCCTTCCCCAGGTATCTCCCAGCTCTGGCCCCTGCTTAGCTGGAGACCCAAGATGCAAGGCCAAAATGACCCGGCCCAACCTCCAGCCCCGGGTGCATGCGGATTGGCTCACATCTCTGCCCATTTGGCCCTGCCCCATCTGTACTTCCCCCCCCTCCACCCTGGCTCACGCCTGCCCTGTCTGTGCCCAACCTGGCAGCGCCGCCTGGAGGAGCAGAAGCAGGAGCTCTGCCGGCGCAATGAGGTGGCGTCCTCGGACCGCTGCAAGGCCGCCCTGCTGGAGCTGTCGGACGAGCTGGATGACCGGATCAGCGAGGGGGTCTACTCAGTGCCCGGGGGCTACCAGTGCTTCCAGGACGACCAGTGGCATGTGGTGGAGAGATACTGGCAGGTGCCAGGGAAGGGGGCAAAGGTAGGAGAGGGCTGGAGCCTGGCTCTGTCTGTGCGTCCCCTCATTCTGCAGCCCAGGAAGCCCTGCTGAGAGCATCAGGGGCAGCATCAGAATGCGTCTACCCCACCCGCACAGACCTCCCTGCTGTCCGCCTGCCCCAGGCCAGGTTCCCGTGGCCAACCCAGTCCTCAGCTGCTCTGCTGGGGCTGCTGGCGGGGGCCGGTTAGCGCTCGTGTGAAGAGGTTGTTTGTTCCGTTACAAAACGTGTTCAGTCCCCAGCTCATCCGGAACAGGCGCCGAGGGTGTCGAGTGGGAATGAACTGCTAATTCTGGAACTAGCGCCCCCTGGAGGGGAAAGGCCCCATGTCCCATTCCAAACCACCCTGAGCCAGTCAGTCCCCTGCCCTGGGACTGGATCAGGGCCAGCAACCCCTAGAGGGGAAAGTCCTGTCTCCCAGCCCCCGCCTGCCTAGCCAGCCAGTTACTTTCCGGTGCTGTGATCCAGTATCCCGACCCGGATCCGGCCCCACAAGACAGCCCCCCTGACCTTGTGTCTCCTACTCTCCATCCCCAGGCCGAGGCAGTGCTGCAGGAGTTCCTCCAGTCCAAGGAGGCTGTGGCCCAGTCCATCCTGCAGACGGACGAGGCCCTGACGGAGAAGGAGAAGGAGATGGCAGGTACCACTGGGGGGGACATCACGCCGCTGGGGCGGGGGAGAAGGTACCTGGGCTGCAGCCCTGGTGGGCAGAGTCACCATGGCCCTCCCCATGCTGACCCACCTCTCTCTCCCCGTGCCAGCCGAGCGAGCCCGGGCCGAGGTGGCCGAGCGGGAGCAGCAGGTCCTGAAGCAGAAGGAGGCTGAGTTGCAGCAGAAGCGGGAGGACCAGGACCGCAGCTACCAGGAGAACCTGCGGCAGCTGGAGACGAAGCTGGAGGACGAGAGGAAGAAGATGCTGGAGGAGCAGGGCAAGATGCTGGATCAGAAACTCAAGGTACCGAGGGGGGGGGTGCTTGGCACTGGGGGGACAGGATGGGCACAGCCTGAGCAAGGGCGCCCCTGCCACCGGCCTCAGCCTGCCCGGGGGTGGGACTCCCATGCATGGGGCAGCCAGGGTGCTAGCAAATGGCAGGCAAGGGGCGGGATACCCCCACCTGTGGGGCAGGGACTGTCCCATGGGACAGGCTAGGGATCCCCCTCATTCTGTCGCTGCCCCCCAGGAGCAGGAGGCCCTGCTGAAGGAGGGGTTCCGGGAGGAGGCCGGACGCCTGGAGAACCAGATCCAGCGCCTGCAGCAGCAGACCGAGGAGATCCAGAAGCCGTCATGGATCCAATCGGCGCTGGGGGTGCTGGGTGATGTGGCCACCCTCGTGCTACCTGGCTTCGCTGGCAAGGCCGCCGGGGTCGTCAGCAGCCTCGTCCGGCGGATGTTCTGAGGGGCCCCCGGCCTCCCACTCGCCTCGCTACCCCAGCGGCCTGTTCACCCGCGGAACCCCCTGCCACAGGACGCTCTGCCAACGAGCAGCTTAGTAACGTCCAGCAAAGCGTTGGGTGGTTCTGACTGCAACGCCGAGGGCTCCCAGCCCCCACGCTTCGTGGCCTGGGCTGCCCCCCCACACTCCGCTGGAGGGGTCAGGGAGGAATATCTCACCCCACAGAGCCTTGCAGGGAGGGTGCATTGTGGGAGACGTGCTACCTCAAGATGCACAGGTGCTATTGGAGAGGGATACTGGGATGGTTGGGCCTATTAGCATGATCTGTGGGGCAGGACCCAGGCGAGGTGGCCACCAGACAACCACACCTGGAGCTGAGGCAGCCTTCTGCCCCGGGTACCTCCCCAGCCCCGGGCCGAGGGATGGGAGCTGGCGTGGGCGTCAGACGGGGACGCCTCTCTCCCTTCCTTGCAGCCGAACAGCTTTAAGCTATGCAATTAAATAAACCTCCCCCACAAACCTCACTCTCATGTCTGGGTGTTTTTGCTGCTCTCTGGTGACGTGAATCGACACCGCTGGAACTAAGAAACATGCGGGACAGACGCTGGCGCGCCGGGACAAGCTGCGAACCCGCCCTGGCTGCCCTGAATTTGGGCTGTCAAGGCAGGATCAGTGCTATGAGATTGCTAAACCGCAGGTTGGCTAGTGGTTACAGCAGAGGGGGCCTGGAGCCAGGACTCCTGGGTTCTCTCCCCAGTTCTGGGAGGGAAGTGGTGTCTAATGGTTAGCGCAAGGGGGCTGGGAGCCAGGATAGGGCCTGTCAGGGCATAGAGTTCTCACCCGCTTATTAGTGAAATACCCAGGGAGGTCCTGGCAGTGCAAATGCTGGAGAACAGTTTAAGCAGCGGGATTGGCTGGCACCGGCGGGGGCATCGGGAAATGGACACGGAACCAAACCCCCCAGCTGTGTGAAATCCCGACCCGGTCAGGGCCCCGTGGAGCTGGTGTGATCTTGCTGTCGCCAGCTGGCCAAGTGCTGTTTCACCAGCTCCGTTCACAGCTCCGAGATCTGCCCCATTTCCCACAGTGACACGGAAGAAGCACCCGGGCTAGGTGTTCCTGCTGAAATGATCATCAGTGACACAGATAATGAAGCAATCGTTAGGTTCCAGGGGTAACCTGCCATTGCTATGAAAGACACAACTCACACTGGGGTCAGGCTCTCTGCAGACACAGGAAGCAAACCAGGTGGCTTCCGGTCACATTGGGAAGGTTTTCTAGAAGCTCGGGGCTGGATTCTCACCAACACTAGGGCCCTGTGGAAGTGGGTGAAAAATATAACATGGGGCCTCTGTACTTCCTGAGGTGTGTAAAGGGGCCCAAGCACCAGTGAGACTCCAGCCCTGCTCCACCAGCCCTTGTGGCTGCAAAGAAAACTTCCAAATGTGACCTCTTCTGGGCAGGGTTTTCTGCCTCAGTGTGCAGAGAGCCTGAACCAAAAACCATGTGAGTGGTGTGAACTGCTCCATTTCTAGTGATAGTCTGTTAACTCTGAACCCTAATGATCACACAATGACCTGTTTTGCTGATCGCTCCAGCTATGGGTCAGCCTGTGTGTAGCATTTGAGGTTGGAGCCATTTATTGCTGGGGGGGATGTGAGATAAATGCTCCCTTCGCGTGGGCCTCTGGGGCGGAGCGCTTTGGACACCAGCTGTTCACACATACCACTCTTCCTGCTGGGCTCTCTGCCGCTCCCTCTCTTTAGCCTGTGGTCATGGAGGGGCCCGTGTGCCTGCTGGGGACCGGCGCCGACAGGGAGCAGGATGTGTACAACCAGGGGAAAAACGCGGTGACCACCATGGCCACCATGGAGAACGAGGCGGCCCTCAGGGAGGCGCTGGCTCACTACGCGGCCGGGATGGGGGGGCTGCGGCTGCCGGCGGAGCTGGCCGAGCTCTCGGCGGCGCACGGGACACACGAGGCGGACGCCCTGCGGCTCTTCATGCAGCGCTCCTTCAAGGACGAGGAGCAGGAGTTCCAGAAGCAGCTGGTGGTAGGTGGGGGCGTCCCGGGCTGGGCCCAGCAGCAAGGAGAGCGTTGCTGGGATGGATCTGCACTGCGGGGGGCCCGCTGGGCACCAGTGGTGGGTCAGGGCCCCGACCGAAACCTGGTCCCTGCTCCAGGGACCGTCCAATCCCCAGGTGACTGATTGGCCAATGGACCATTGGCTCCCCCAATCCTCCGATTGGCCAATGACCCTTTGACCCAGCCCAGGCAGTTCGTACCGCGCTGCGTTAGCTCCCTGGACAGCACACGCCATTCGCACTCAGGGTCCGTCTACACTGGGACGGCAGCTGGGGGGCCAGACCCAGCCCAGGCAGTTCGTACTGCGCTGCGTTAGCTTTATATCCTCGGGCGGGTTCCTGGGCCTGGTGGCAGGTCGGGGCCCCCGTAGGAAGCGTGAAACCTGAATCTGACTTGCGATTATGGATACGATTCTGTCACGGACGGAGATCACAAATTCTGGGACTTTCCGGGACCTCTGGGATGTCTTTGGTAGCAGGGTGTGACGAAGTGGGGGGGTTCTGTGGAGTTTCAATGGTTTGCATGCGGAGGGGGTGGGACTCGGTTTCCCTGGGTGTTACTGGTTTAACGAGGTGAGGGGAGAGGGAGTGTGTTTTGCAGAGGACCGGAGAGAGGACGTGGGGACCCAGCCGATGGCCGGGAGGATGGAGACCCCAGCGACCGGTGACCTGGTGACCCAGAGGCCCAGCTGAGGAGACGCAGCTGGTTCTAGCCAGAGGACAGAAGCGAGGAGAGGAGGCCCCAGTTTACGACCCTGTTTCCCTGGAGAGAAGACAATGGACAGAGGCGGGGCCTGGGGCTGGTGATCTCAGATGCCCAGCTGCGAGCAGGGGGGCTCTGGGCTGGAGAGGGGGAGCAGGCAGAGCCCCCCTGGATGCAGAGAGACTGGGATGTGCTGGGCTGAGGGAGGCCAGGCCTGAGGCCGGAGAGTTTCCTGTGCTGGGTTCAACTCTCAATAAACCCTCCTGTGTGACGCTGGCTGAGAGTCGCTCTGGGCTAGAGAACAGGGCCGGGGG